TTCAAATAACCAAGACCCGGTTACATAATGAAAGAATTCTGGTGCTAAAGAATAAAAAATTCTTCAGTTTTGAGGTTGTCTTGGGAATGCCTTAAATAAAACCCTCTAATAAACATGAGCTGTTTCATGTCACATTGAAGGCATAAACCTATTCCTCTACTTTTGTCTAATTTTTACTTTTCTTCCACTTCAATGTCATTTTACTAAATGAAGCCCTTCTGTGTTAAAACTGTTACGAACAGTGTTAGTCACACAACCATACCTCAGGTAAAATTGGCTCACGCACTTCAAACTCATATTGCATGTGACCTTTATCATCTTTCCAGTCTGATTTATTTTTGGACATTTCCAGATCATGTCAGGATTTGCAGGCATTAGAGGGTGAAGGATCAGAATAAATGTTGATTACAGAGAAGAAAAGATCCATACTTCTAAAGAGAGCAAATATCAATTTCATAAAGGAAACAAATCTGAAGAATCTGAAAGAGCTAAAGCAAAGCTGAAGTCCCCACTCCCCATTCCATGTATAATTTCTCTTACGGTAACTACAATGTGTTCTCAAGGTTTTTGACTGTTTGCTTTCTCAAGATTGCATATTTTAAAAAGCACTATTAGCCCCTTTGCTACTCAAGAGAGAGAAACACAACAAGGATCTGGTATTACTCAGTCTCGCCATTTTGAGGTACAGGATTTCTTAATCCCAAATAAGAAATGGTGATGACTACTTGAGGCCAGTCTCTTTCGAATAAGGGAAACAAGTTTAATTTAGCGTCTAGTAGATGAAAAAGATTTGCCTCATGACTTTACCTATTTGAAATTCACTGTCTTCAACACATGAGTCAGCATTCAGCTTTCCAGATTACTCTGACTCAGCTGCCTGGAAGCAGGAACGCTTGAAATTTTATGCCAGTATTATGCAGAATGTCACTACAAGAGACTATTGTCCAACAGTTGCAGACAGAAAGATTAAGCATCGACATCATTTTATCTGTTTCTAGCAAACTTTCCTAGTCACACTCCTATTATACCTCTGCTAATGTGGTACTTGAATAGGAAAGCATAGCAAAAACCTGGAGCCGTCTGTTGAGCTTTAGGCAACTCTTTTCATTTCTCCGTGCTAATGTGTGCTCATTTCTGGAAAAGCTAATTTTTTTTGCCTATTTAACTTGCATATTAATCTCCGTTGAACTATACAAAATGAATTTCAATCTTCATGTAAAAAATGGGAGGATGGTTTTCGATTCACACCCTTCTTGATTTTCATCAATCAACCTTTTCCGCTTAAGTACTATTTAATCAAAAAAGATGTGAGATGGCTCCTAAGATTTATCTGGGCATCACTGAAATAGAAAATACTGCCAGAGCTCCCACATAGAGTTGCTCATGAGACTGACATTATAAATACAGATTTGGTCCTCTAGCAACTTTCTTCTGCCTCTGAGGAACAGGACCACCAAAGCCAAAGCCTTGCCCCTCGTTTCTGTGTAGTGAGCTGCTCATACAGCTATCTCACCCACTTTAGCTGTGTCCTCATCAGAAGGAGCACACGACAGCACCTTTTCCAAGGCAGGGAGCCCTGTGTGTTCCTCACCTACCTCTGTGACCCATGTGAAATATCCAGCCTTCAACAGGTGTTGCCTCATTAACACTTCAGAGGAGCAAAGCCCTAGTTTTAAGCAGCACAATCCCATCTCAGACCTCCTTACTCGTCCTATTTCATGACAAGGGAAGCCAAGTATTGCAGTGGAGCCTGGATCGTTCAGTAAGCACTGGGGAGTGAAGGCAGGCATCTTCCCCCATGTTCCCTGTATCACTGACCGTGGACAAAAAGCAAGGCTTAAGAATTAGGGAATTTGTCTGTCTAGGAAGAAAACAGATGAGTAAGAAAAATCTACATGTAAAATTCACTACAGGGAGGAATTCACTTGTGAAATAATGTAGTATTAAATAGTAATGATAAATGCAACACTGAAAATTACATTGCTTTTTTTAAGTCCTAAGATCTGCTAAAAATACAAAGTGGTAACAGTCAAAGCCATACAGCTGTGGCTACTCTGCAGTGAAGCAATTATATAGCTACTCCTAAACAAAAAGGGAAATAAAAGTAATTTGCATAAAGCGCAAGTGTAATACACTTGTGTGTTATGGACTATGCTAAATTATATTCGGTATTAATACTCTGTAACTGCTTTCATCATACTGCCCTACGGGTACTCAATATAATGATCAATTCCAGTGTCAGTTATAACAAGGAAATACATATTGCTATAAAAAATGTGGATACCGCATACTCAAGGCCCTTTCCAAAGCCCAGCGGAGTTCTTGAGTGCATTGTTTCTCAAAGTCCATGGGGTTCAATCATCACAAATCATTAGAAATTCAAACTGGCAGTTTTAATGGTGCCCAGGGGACTTGGGCACTCAGCTTCCATTATGCTTCAATTTAACTTCATTACCTAAGATACCAGTGAACTTTTGAAAATACCAGCATAAGTAAGATCCAGGGTGAGTTACAGTACAGCAACAACAAAAAATCTGAATAAAGTATCTTATGTAGCGTTTCTTCTTCATATTTTAGAAGTGGCTTGTCAAACTGTATAGGAGAGCTGTAATTATCTATTAAAATCTACCAAGAAGTCCCCAAATTATCCAGGAGTTTCCTCCTAGGAATCCTAAGAAGCATACACTCTTCCAGTCTTCATTTTGTGCTATAACAACTTGGATCATTTGCTGTCCTCTCCCTGCCTCTAGAACACACTGATGAACCAGGAGAATGTGTCTCTATTCAGTAACTATAAGCCTACAGGAAAGGTTTTTTGAAAGGTCCCTTTGTTAATATTTTACTTTAAGTTTACTACTGAGAGTTTCAATTTTAAAAGGAAAACCATATAAAATAGACTAAAAACATAAAGGTTAAAGTAACCAGAATGAAAAAAAAATAACACTGCTGCCATAAATGCTGTATAACAAGTAAATGCTGTTCCATATGCCACAAGATTGCTCACATGTCAAGACATTTTGTGCAGAGGTTACAGATGGAATAGATCTATTGTTAAAGACAAACATGCCTTGGGACCCATTGATTTTCATATTAGGTCTGGCTGAAGATTCACAAGGACTATCAAGTACACACAGACGCGCACACACACACAAATGCTCCTCCTGAGAGCAACACTGATTGCCAAAAGGATAATACAGAAGCAGAAATCCTGCTTCCCTGAGAATTAGACACTGTAAGAGAGAAAAGCCAGCAATGTACCTTAAACACATTGAGAGAGAGAATTCAAACATGCCCCATTTTTAGAAAAGTACAAATTAATTCTAATATTCAAGGCATGCAAATTGTGATGAAAAAAAATATTTTACCATCTGCATTTTCAGTTCCTGGAGCTAATCTGCAAACCTGATCTCCCAATTTGAGATTTGTCCCTAGATTATGTCTTCTTGTGGAAATATGTCACAAATCTGCATGTGTGCACAAGGAAAACCTGGAACAGAGTTTCTCCCTCCTCACTCATAAAAACCCCTATTCATCCTCAAAAATAAAAATATCTTCCGAAACCCAAGTAATTAGCAGAATATGAGAAGACAGCATACAACAAATACACTTTTTTCTGCAACAGTCTATTTCAACTAATCACTGGATTAGGAACCCCCTGAGCCACAGGTGCCCACCATTGTGTTAAAAAACTAGAATACCTCTACACATTTGAGTCTGATGTGAACTGCCTGATGCTGCTTGACCAAACCTCAGCCTCGCCATCTCCAAGATTTTAAGACATTTAAGAAGCAGACGCACAAAACCCAACCACCACAAACTGCAGGGTTTTTACACTGTTCATAATGTCGACAACTTTTACTATATTCTTTAGATCTGTGTCCCTTTGGCATGACTTTGGCCACCAACATACAAAACCTGTTAATGCCACGTATTCTTCACTGTTGCACAGATCAAGTGCTAAACCCACCCATTTTACAACTGCAAAGATGTCACATTTCTAATCTTTGGTTCTCTGATTTTTTTTTTCCCCTTCTAGATATTTCCTATCTTGATTCCTACCATACTCCTCTACAGAAGTTGATATATCTTAAACTACATGGCACTGCCAGAAATAGAAAAACTGCCTCTCACTTTATCATTAAAAAGCTCCTTGTTTCTCAGATTTATCTGCAGTATTAAAACTCTCTTTGTTTTAATTAGTACTGCTGGATGATTCATGACATTTCATGACAATAATAGCTGTTCTGGATTTTTTTTTCCTGTTTAATACTTCCTCAGATAATTTGTGTCAATTTTGCGTTGCTTTTAAAGCCCTATATCCATCGAAAACATTAACCTCCAAAGAAAACTCACTTTGCCTAAAGACTGCCTGCCACTAGTGATTAAGTCAAGTCGACCATTCATCATGACTCTCAATTTGAGGTTCAGCTTGCAGGCCCCTCAAACCCATCTGAAAAGATTTTTGGACGTTTCATTGAGTGAATCCCACAGCTGACTCACTGTGGTTTTGTAAACCAGAGGATGAAAGTGAGCCCTTCTAACTTTATTATCTATAAACACAGAGCAATGGTCACCAACCATGCTTAAAATTATGTGCTTGGGACAGATTCATGCGTCAGGGACACAAATATTATTTTATGCCACAAATACTATTTTATGCTTCAGTCTTACAGGTCAAGGAGTCCTCAGCCCAGTTCCTCAACCTGCCAGTTTGGAATAAGCTGGAGGATCGGTGCTCCCTGCCTCACCTGAACTCACCTTGGGTTGCTGTAAGCCTTTCTACGTGTGCTTTTCAGTGTGTCCCATACTTCCCCCGAGGGTCACACAACAACCCTGCAAGCAAGCATGAGAACCAGCGTCTTTTTGCCTGGAGCCCAAGTTCAAAATCAATACTCGACTCTTTGACAGCATCCCCATATAAAACAACGAAATTCAGCTCGTGTTTTCTGAAGGGCTTGTCCAGGTACAGCTTTTTTGTGTGTGTCATTCATTCTACTTACGTACAAAATTGCTGCATGGTTTCCAGAAGTCAGCCTGAGAGATCAGCCCATGCACACAGAATACTTTTCACATAAGTGCTGCCAGTGATCGTTCTGTTTGGAGTACAGATGAAAAGGTTAATTATTACCAGTGGATGACCACTGCTTGATAGAAGGAGAAGGAAAAAGTAGTATTTTAACATGTAATTGCCAGCCCATCTTTCCCACTAACAAACATAAAGAAGTCTTTGCTTCTGTAATCACTCTTCCACATGTAACCTCTCATTTTCTGAAACAAATTCATGCAGATTTGTACTGAAGAAAAAGCAGAGTAAACTGGACTTATAATTTGTGCATCGAAAACATCCGTGGGGAACAGGAACTAGGGTGCACTGCTTTTTTGGGGCTGTGAAAGTGAACTTTGTGAGATTCTGCTGCTCACAAGGTCACAAAAATCCAGATTGAAATCCATTACTGAAAACAAGGCAGAGAACAAGGTGGTTTTTTTGTTGTTGTTGTTTTTGTTTTGTTTTTTTAAGCTTTGCAAAGACCTGAAAGATCCTGGAGTAAATCTACAGTGAAATTCTCTTTCCTCTCCGCAGAGAGGCACCCCAGCAGCATTGGCCACTTAAGGACGTTTTTTTCTAAGAGAATCGGCAGCTTTGTATCCTCACGGCTGTATTTAGCCTTGCGTGTCGCAGGAAACCAGCACAGATTTGCATTCACCCAGCTCAGAGCTCTGAAAGACCATCTCATTTAACAATATAGGATGCAGTGCTCAATTTTCAGCACCAAGCTTCAGCAGAGAGATGCAATAACAGCAGGGAACGCAGAGGTGAACCATGAAAACACTTGGAACCCTGACAACAAGGAAATATTGAGATTATTGACAGCGATTAATTTAGGGAAAAGAGGACTGAAGTGAGCCATAATAATCACCTTTAAATATGTAAAAGATCTGTGCAAGGAGAAAGGGAATATATTCTCTGCGTCCATGGTGGAATAGCATAAGTAATGGGCTTACACTGAAGTGAGTGAGATGTAAATTAGGTATCAAGAAAACCTTTTAATTGCAATGATACTTGCACTGAAATAGCAGCAGAATTAAATGCTAGGAAGATAGGCATTCCTATCCCTGGAGGCTTTCAAGAACACACACACAAAAGGACTGTTAGGAATAGCAAATGCACAGCACTCTTGCCTCTGGGCAAGGATGTGGTTTGAACAATCCCATGTCCCACCAGCCCTATTTTCCACGATTTTGCAATTATGCCATCTGCATGATTTCCCTGAAGAATTATACCAACGTTTGGTCTGTTTTGTGAATGGAGCCAGTAAATAACCGGTCATCTTTTCTTTAAGGTGTCTGAGGCACGTGACCAAGTGAAGCAGGGCAAGTTACAGCAGTATTACAGCTCCTACTCCACAGCTCAAATCAGGATTTTGTTCAGAGAGGAATTAGCTTCCTCCTGCAGCTTGGCACCCTTTAAGCTCCATTAATAATTGCAGCTCTGAAAGCCTACCTTAAATTTTCCCTTATCGTAGGAGATACCCCATTGACTATGTAATGATGCAACTGCACAGCGATGCGTGGGACATACATTAAAAATGACAATCAAATGACAATATAAAAAAGTTTGAGATACCTCTGTGACACCGTTTTCCATTTCCTAAATGTTGTGCCATAACAGTTTGCTACAGTGCTGACATTTGCACTTGCTGTAACACAGGCAGCTCCCCCCTGCTTGGGAAGGTGCTGAGGACCAGAGCACAGTGTCAGTGTATCACAGAACTCACACACACACAGACAATAAAATCTATACTAGATTATAATAAATAGTCCATAAATCTATAAATATATTATAATAAATGATATTATAATAATTTATTTTATAAATAAAATTCTGAATTCTTTCCAGCCATCCAAGTGTTTTGGACATTAATTTCATGTTGTCTTTTGTTTGACTGTGAGGAACTTCCCATTCCTTCCAGTTCAGAAAACACCAGTGACATTAAGCACAATACTAACAAGCAAACACTGCCAAAACCTCAAGTCAAGCGGATCCCCAAAGATGGATTATTAATCTGGCGGTATGTCCACATGGTTGTAGATCGTGAACTCTCTCTTACAAAACACCCTTTATCAGCACATCCGCACATCACGTGTTAGATGAATGTGATAGCAGAATGCACAAAAATATGCAAATTTTAATACATCCTTTCCAAGGTTTGGAGGAAGGGGTTTATCCAAGAAGACTACCTGCTGACATCCTTTGAATAAAAGTTTACAAAGCAGCCAGAAAAAGGAAATTTTTTATTGATTTAACTCTTCACCAAGACCAGGCAGATTGAAAATCAGCACTGACAAAGATTTATAACACAGATGGAATGAGTCATGGGCTGAAAAAAAAAATACAGTATTGCATGCACATACAGACGAGTACCAGGGATGTGCATGAGGAATGTGGTTTTCCCCCCAGTCCGTCCCTCTGCTAGTTCAGATCTCTGCTTGAACAATAAATCCTCCACCATCTTCTAGGAGACTGCACTTAGGCTTAAAAACCTATTTATGCTTACCGCACAATATAATGAAAGCCCTGGAAGCAGACAAACAAGAGGAACTGAATTATTGCTACATTATTTAGTAGGTTGCGTGGCCAGTATCTACAGGAGTCAAACCCGCCATAAAATAACTAACCTGCTTTCTCCAACCAAATTCTCCCTTGACATAGTAAAACATGGCCCAGAAGTATTCTCTGATAGTATTAAACAAACATCTGGGGGGTGGAAGGGATGTTAGGATTTAGAAGTCTGGAAAATACACAGCTCTCCTGAGACACAGTCATCCATACAGCTAAGCCTCGCAATCTATTTAGGACTTTCTTTTGAACCTTAGTGAGGTTTTTAAGCCTTATCTGATGAGCATAATGATATTAAACTGTTTTTCATTACCCATAAAAAATGAACAAAAAGGATAAAGCTGCTAGCATCTCAGGCTATTTGAAAGGAATCAATAGTCTGAATCCCTCGGTATATCCTGCTCATAAAAAAAACATTTTCTTTAAACAAAGAGGAATTGTTTGGACATGAGAAACTAGTTTCACATGAAGTACCTTTCACAAAAAAAGTAGCTCCAAGGTTGATAGAAGAAAAATGTAAGACAGATTATTACGTGCAGTTAGATATAGGTATGTATGCTTACGTGCAGCACGTCTGCACACCATGCACTTAGAGGAAACATGCCAGAACCAAATTCACCAGCCCTGATAAAGTTTACAAATACAGACAGGTGATAAGAGTTAGGCCAGAACGGGATACAGTAAGCTGGAGGCAGCAGGAAAAAAAAGTCTGTATCTGAAGGCATCAAGAATTCCCTTAATTTCCAGTCTCCCTATTTGTTTTGCTGCACTGTGCTGGGCAGACACGCAATGCTACAACAGAACAGCCCCCAACAAAGCATTAGCAGCTACAATTCAGAAGCAGAGCTAACTGCGATGTTCCTAGTGTGATTTATTTATTTTTTTTTTTGTCTAAAAACATTGATTTGTTGGAGCTGCAGCTTTTCACAGGACTGCATCCATTTCAGGAGACAGCCATCGTGACAGCATCGCACCTGACAACTCCTGGTCAAAATGTGAGAGACAATGTTTGTAACAACAGCAACATCCTTTCCAGTCCACTTGTCCAGGCTATAGCAAGAAAAAAAGGCTCAAAACTGTGCTCAACAGCTTATTTTATTCATTATTTTCCTGATTTCAGGCTTCAAGTTCCAGCTTGGCCTGATTCATAGAAGGGCTTAGGTATTCTAGGAACCTGCTGCGCAAAGCACTGATCTGTCTTGGGAGGGTGTTAGCTTTCCTGAAACTGGTGGTTCTCTTTTTTACTGCACAACTTCAGGAAAAAAAAAAATAATAATAAAGTCAGCACGGGGAAGAAACTGAAATTCCCCAACATTTCTACTGAAAAATAGCACGCACTTGTTTCTCGCCAGTAATTAGAGGTGTCAACTTCATTCTCACGTGGAGCATGCCACGTATTCCTCTGGTTTGTAGGGAGGATGGATACAGGCCAAGACACAGGGAAAAAAAGAAATCACAAATCTTTGTGATTCATAAATGGGTTGCTGCTGTTCTATCACTTTAAAGCTACTTAATCTCTACTCTTTGAAACACACCCTATTATGCACTAAATGATTAATATCATTCGTTTAATAAAGAATTTGTCCATATTAAGATATTCAAATCTAAACCATCTTAAAATAGAAAGGCTTAATCCTCCCATGGTGTAAATAAGGATGATTCCTTTGAAGTCAATGAAGCTAAGGCAATTTCTGGCAGCTAAGGATCAATCCTGCATGCCTCCAAGGCTTAATTAACTCTGTGTACCTTTTCTAACACATAATGCTCTCAAATGAATTAATATTTAAGCTGTTATCACCTGTGAGATGTGGAGCATGTATTACTCAGAGCTGCATGAACAGGATATTATTCTATTTATATTCTTGTGACGGCTTCCCAGACGCTGGGTGAGCTTTCCTTCCCTGGAATAGCAACAAGTATTTTACTTACGTGTTCAGTTCAAGCAGAAAAAAAACAAACCATGATGAGGAGCGAGCCTGTTCATAGGTAGTCCTTACATCTGAAGTGCTTCTTGCGAAAACACGCCTGACTCACACACACAGAAGTATACAGCCAGCTACCTACATGAAACTGTGGAGCCAAGCTTGCAAACACAGCTCAAAAAATGGAAAAGCCTTCATATAAAAAAAGACTTCGCTATTAGAAACAAGAATGAATAATTTTGCATCCTGGAGAGAAAACAACAGCACGTGTAACTGCAGCTTTTATCCAATGGGCAGTATTGGGAGTCAAAGTGGGGAGAAGAATTTCCAGCAGAGCTTACTGCAAAGTTCATCAAGGTGGGTAATCAAAACCTGGCTCTCATCAGTACTATCACCACTGCCCTGTTATGGCTGTGAAAGTAACTCTACGACATCTGTAGTATTTTTAAAGGTTTTTAATCTTTATTGCTTCCATCTTTGGTTTATTCTAGTAGAATACACCCTCCCATCTCAAAGCAAAGTAAGAAACACCATGTTGTTCTGAAGCTGGCAT